GGGGGAATATAAATAAAATTATTTCCATTTTACACTAGTGAGAACTCCTTTTCTCATCTAAGAGATGATTATGAAACAAATATCCAGACACAGCATGCTTACTTCAGCCAGTGTTATACAAACATTTTTCAAGTAGTATGAAGTTGCAGCTCTGAATTAAAATATTTGAATTGTTATGTAAAGTAGTACCTCCCAAAATTGAAATAACGGTTTCAAATTCAAGGGGTCCACAACATCAGCCAGATCGACTGGGAAATGTCAATATTGGAGAAAATCGGTTGACCAGTTTAGCAGCCAGGGTTGTTCACAGATGGACAGACGTTTTGCCAACATTCGATTTTCGGTATCAAGCCCTCGGTACCCACAAAATGGATTATTGTTATCTCACGTGATGTAGGATTGTTTTTTTTTGTTCCTAATATAAGCATTTGGATTTATCCATTTTTTTGGTTGTCAGGGCCATGTATTAAGAGTTTGTATGCCGAAAAGCAGTTTCTTTCGCGCAGAACTAAATATTACTCACGCAACTTTAATTAAACGACGATCTTGCTACCTCTTTCCTTCTCTATGGCACAATAAAGAGTTGAAGGCAAAGACGCACAGCGAGCACTGACGATAACATTCCTAACACATCTCCACTGGCGCGAAATAGAAACTTATTTTCTGTTGAATGGCGGAGATTGTCTCCAAAGAAATCTAAAGAAATGACCGAAGCACATAAAGATCCATCACAGGAGATACCTCAAACTCCTAAGAAAGATCCGAAGGCATTACTGATTCTCCAGAGATTGGCATTGCTTCATATAATCTAGAGCCCGATTTCGTAACTAAAACACCCACTCTATCCACATTTCTCTATACTCTTGCTATCTATCACCGCCCAAAGTACATTTGTTTGAAATTTTCTTAATTTTTCGGTTGCGTAATAGTAGAACGTAAATATTATTTTAACAATATTAAAGAACACTAAAACCTCGCACTAAATTGCAAATTTCTTTGAAAAACTTAGAGCTTTTTTTTAAAAAAAGGCTTTTAAACACTGCTGTAAATTCGAAATTTGAAGCTCTTTTCACAAACAATATTTAAGTTTTCGAAAACCTTCATTAAAAATCTTATGGAGCACTTCAACTCACAAAAATAATAGTGTTTACAATTTGCTGGAAATATGTATATTGACGGTGTGTGAAACTTTAAAAATAATGTTTATGTATTTTTTTAAAAAGAACAAAAATACTCTGAAATGCACGTTACGGCATATTAAAGAGTGCAATTAGCACTATGCGTTTGAAAAGTTTGAAGGAGAAATTTGGAGCGGTTTTTGAGAAAATGGCGTTTTAGCGCTTCTGAAAATACTGAATTTTTAGTTAGTTTTCGCAGAAAATGGTTTTCGATAAACTTTATAAAACATTATTTAAAGCACTTGTACCCGTCGATATAATGTGAGCAAATCGCCGCTAATATAAATATTAACGAGAGAAAGTAAAAAAGAATGTAATTTTTGAAAGAAAAGAATAGAGCAAACTGATGTTTATGTTATTTCATAGAGTACATTTAGTAGTATCCCAAACGAGAGTTTAAGGAAATAAGTTGGAGCCGTTTTTGAGAAAATCGTATTTTTGTTATTTTTAAAATCTATAAAATTTAAATCGCAAATATTGCGCGAAAACTACGAAACAACAAACTACATGACCTTGATAAAAGAACTAATTATGGACAACAAATTTCATTTTAAGGAAATCTCTGTCTTCAATTTTGTAGTTTTAGGAAGACTTTTAAAATTTTCGAAAATTCAGTGGTAACTGTGAAAATTGAACCTATGTCACTTTTATAAGTGTATGTATATGTGTATTCTTAAAAGATATTTAAAGAAAAAATTTCGAGCTGTTGAGAAAATTGTGAAAATGTCTGGAGGGCTTCATGTAAAGTACCCCCAAATTTTAAAGAACGATTTTCAAATTCTCAATGCTTCGACTCGAGGGGTTTTAAAATTGGAAATAGTTTAGTCGCTAGTAGTGTTCACAGAGGGACAGACAGACGTTTTGAAAATAACCACTTTTTCGGTGCCAGGGGATCCCAAAAGGTGTAATATCCAGACTTTCAAATTGCAGAAAAATGTACGAATAACAAGTAAACGCTATCTACCTGATTTCTGCAAGCCTTTCTTTATTGATCTTACTATTGTGTTGCCTATTTATTTACGAATCTGTAGTTTTTTTCAAAACTGTCTTAAGAGTGGAAACATATTTTCATGTAAATCAGATATCAATAATTACAAAACACGTCGTAGGAATTATATGCAATTTTAAAGTGCAGAATAAAATATTTTCTGCTGCATAACTGCTTCTGTATTAATAGAGACTATACCTATCATAAAAATTAAAATACTGATTTTAACAATAAAATTGAATGAATTAATTACATTAATGTAATTACATTAATGTAAATTTGTGCTGTAAAATTTTGAGACGACTAAATGTGCCTGTGACAAGTAATGTACTTCAGCTTCTGCGTCAATGACCTCCATTTCGATCAGGTTTTTCGTCCAGTTTCCCTGATCCATTGAGCAATCCCTTTGTTTTCCATCTAGAGTAAAGAGAGTATGAAAATGTTCTTGACAAATGTAGCTTAACTATGTTACGTTATGTTACCTCCCATTTAGCTGGTTGCGATAGGAAGAGTACAGCCGTGCTGCTACTTTCATAGCAATACTATGAAATCAAATCTGTAATTCAATTACTGATACAAATAAGATTTCTATAACTGGGGAGCGAAAATGTTAAAATATTCGAATTTCGCTGTGATTGCTCTTATATTATTTCTATTCTTCGTTCAATTATGCATAGTAAAAGGGTGGGGAAAGAATTTTGGAGCTGAAGAAAACGAGCCATACGTCACATTGTTTTTTCCTTTTTTTTCACGAAAATAAAAATCAAACTATACGACGTATTTTCTGCTTCTTCCATAACATTTTATGAGATTTCTCGAATAGCCGTGTTTTGAGGTCTCAACAGAAGTGATCAACATCACCTCGATTCCTCTTATCAAAAATGTATTTCCACCCATGATTCCTCTTATCAAAACGAATAGATTAGCATTAGCTTGGCAGGATCCTTCAAGAATATTCTGGACGAATTCTAAGTTTCTTTTGTTGTAAGTCAATGCACCTACAGTGGTGAAACGTTGTGAATTACTGTACTGCTTTTCCGGCAAAACATTAATCGTTACGGCTCGATTTATCCGGAATACTTCTGTTATTAGTTCAATACTTAGTGTTAATTTCTTCGTTGTTTTATTATAATTATTTAAACAGACATTTGTAATCTGCAGCACACAGTTGTCAATACGTGAAGGGTAACAACTTTCACTCATGAAAATAATTTAGTGAAAGGTTCTCTCACTCAAGAGATAGAAAATCCTATTGACTATAATTCAACACAATTTTGTAATGAAACATATTTTAAAAAATATTTTAATCGATACTTTCTTGTAAGTTTCTATGATCAATAGGCAAGCAATGATATTGCATAGTTTAAAATGTGTTAACATTATAATTTCACACAGCACAAATATATAAAAGACTTATGTGAAAATACCCGCTGGAGACCTCAAGAAAATATATATGTTGTAATTCGAAAGTTAGTTCTACTTATCAGCTGTAGGTTAGCACAGTTATTGTGTTGAACAATATGGAAGTTATTTTCTCGATGCATTTTGAAACGTTAAATTTCTAATAACCTAATTTGCAAATATGCTTTTTGCACATTTTATAAGATGTAGATCTGCTAAAATTAGGATCCAGAGCATAATATGGAGGGTACTTTACCATAAATGTAATTTTTTAAGTATACATGAATACGTAGGCTACTTTCTTAGTATACGATTTTATGGGATACATCTGATTTTTGGAAGGTTAATGATATTTTGCAGTCTTCCCTTTTTCGATACATTCATTCATGATTTTGTTAAGTCGTTATGAAGTATTTTTGAATATAAAGTATGGAAATATTGTTTCCATTGATCCTTTTGTATCAACAAAATAATACAACTATTGAATCGTTTATTTCAGAAACCCATCAAACGCCAAATTCCTCATTCCGAGAAAACTGAGAAAAAGCCTCCCAATTTATGATTTCAAAATATTTTTATTTTTTAAAGCAGTTGATAAATGAATACTTTTCATATAAATATGCACTAAATTATGTGTCTATCCTCTTGGAACAATAATCCGCCGCTAACGCGTCTATTAGATTTTGGCGTTTGACGGGTTTCTGAAATAAATGATTGAATTGACAAAATGTCCCAAGCTTTTAGTTTTTACTATATGACAAACGGGCAAAAGTAAGATATTACTTGTGATGTTTTTCTTGAGAAGCGTATATTGTGTACGATTTACAAGCATGTAACACAAATAAAAGTATGAATAATGATCATGGAAAATTAAGAACTCGCATGTTAATAGCTTTATTTTGATTATGAAGAGATCTTACCATTTCAAATGATATCTTGATAGGTAATGATATGCTTTCTTGAAGGTGTACAAATAAATTCATTTCAACAGAAAATTTTCCGCCCCAAGTATCAGATTCATGTTTTACTCTCCTAAATTATGTATGAAGTCAATACATGAGTAATTTGAAATAGAAACAATATAAAATTAGAAAGTTATACATGGTAAATACCATTTATTCGTTTACTTATCGGTTATGTAAATTAGTATATTTGTATACGTAGTGTTGGTATGATGTGATAACTATTTTAAAGTTCAGTGTATGTGTTTAATACGAAACTTATAAAAGCATAAAAGATTCATTTAACTATGTAATGATTGAAGAGCACAATATTCTAGTATATTCACACGTTTATCTTTTTTAAAAATGCCAAATAATTCTTAATTTATCTAAGACAAAAGAATGATACGTTGATTGCTTAAGCCAATCAGGAGAGGGTAGCTCATCTGCAGAAGCGTCGGAATCAGTTGGAATTCTGGACCTAATTGAAAGCACGGATTCTGTTCAAGCGGTGTAGACAGTGACGTTCACTCCGTGAAGTAACTATGGCGGGTGAAATGCGTACGTCAGGAAACCCACCGAGGACAAAAATTTTTGTCGGAAGATTACCAGAAGATGCACAGTCGGAAGATCTGAGAAAATTATTTGAGCGTTACGGCATTGTGGTGGAATGTGACGTGCTGTACAGGTATGGCTTCGTGCACATGAAAACGGAAGAAATGGCGGCACGTGCAATCGAAGCATTGAATAATACCGAATTTATGGGCGTTCGAATCAGTGTCGAACAATCGACTGGAAAGAAGGGTGGTAGAGGTTTTGGGGATGGTGGTTATCGCCCCATGCGGATGCGTGGTTCTATGCGAGGAGCTAGAACGACTCCATATATGCGTCAAGGGCCAACGTACGAAAGACGGCCGGGAATGCCATCGTTTGCGAGGGAAGATTACGATTATTATCCCCGTTCTCGTGGACCACCTTTGTATAGCAGAGGTGACAGATTGTCAACATCTGATATCCACGACAAATATGATCGTAGTAGTTTCGGAAGAGGATGCAATCCTCGTGACAATATGTGGATGGGGCCTAGTTCTTTTGATAGTAGTGACGATTCTGGCCCACAGTTTTCAAACAGCATGTATCGAAGGTAAGCTAAATATTTGTAATAAATAGTAATATTTTTAGGATGAATCAAAATATGAATGCGCATTGAAGTCGTGTACTTAATTTCGTTAACAAAAGCGCGCGAAAACATTGATACGGAATTGCTTTATTGCGTCACGCACGAAAACGATATTCGATAGCTAGTGAGCTTAGCAGAATACCTTGTCAATGAAATATTTGCTTGAGGCAATTTTATATCGAAATGCATCGCAATTCGAGACAAGTTTAACTTTCAGAAAATGAATAATCTAAGAATGCCGTTATACGTACGAATAAGTATCGATTTTACAAGAAGCTTTTATTCATTCGTTGTACTATTACTATGTGGTAATTTGTTACTTAATGAAATCGCATAATACTAATATGACCTAAGTAGTATTCGGCACATGAATTTTATTTTTCAGAATAATAAGGTATTGATAAGTTGATATTCGTCTTCAGAAAAAAATATCGTATTTGTAATGATTCAAATAACGTAATAAAAGTGTGTTATCAGTTACATGAAACTGGAAACTGTTTCTGAAAAAAATATACTCAACCAGCATTCGAATTGAAGATGTCCTGAACCATATGCACGTTGAAATACGCGTAAGATTGTTCGCTATGTATTTGCGAAATTCAAAAACGTTTGCAGGAGAGGCAGCGTTTTATTATATTCATCATTTTGATTAAACATGATCACGTTATCGCAGGAGGTCCCCGCCGCCGCCCTCGAGGTTTGGGGGTGCACATTTTGGAGCGGGAAACATGGATTCATATGGACAGCCGTTTCACCGTTGACGCGTGGGCGTAATGGAATGCAACATTTGGAGAAGGCGATTCGATTTTGCGTAGCAGAAGAAGAAACCTCCCGACGGCGAAAAACCTTCAGATAAAAATACGAAATCTGCGTCAGTGTTCATGTAGTCTGTTAGTTAACAGTGTTAGAGGTTGCAAGGTTTTTGGAGAATTATTTTACATTTTCAGTTCAAACAGCTGCGAAAAACGAACAGAGAAAATCTATTTAAAAACAATATTAGCATTTAGTATCTATAATAACAGTATCAAAGTTTTTCAGCAATAGTTAATATCATTTAGGAATTTATATGTGATTTTTTTAGTTTAATCAGATAAACAATTACAGTAGTGGCCAAGTTTTGCAAAATACAATTTGGATTACCAGTTCGCAATTTGATGGAATTAAGTGATTTTATTAGTTTATTCAGTTGAATGCTTACATTACTTACATTTAAATAATTGCAGTTCATTACATACCCGCAGGGTTTTGCGGAAATAATTCAGCTCATAATTTCGAAATTTGATAAAATTATTTTTGTGAGTTTTCAAAGTTTTCTCTTAAGGCTTAACTGATTGCGATTTTTTGTTTCAATAAAGCTATTTCAAGCGTTATATAACCTAAATACTTGTAAGTTGTTAGAGGAATTCTTGTAAGAGCAAAAACAATTATCAAATGCCTTATAACCAAAGTTGCATACATTAAATACTGATAGAAAGTTTCTACTTATTGCGTTTAAACAATCTGCTACCTTCTAGCTTCCCTGCAAATTTTCCGAAATCACTTCTAACATATCCTAATTGTTTTTCCAACGGATTTTCTTTTTGCATCGAAATGATCTTCAATCTTATTATGTTATTCAGTATCATACTTACTGCCGGAACTTGAGAGTTGACTACGTCACTCTTGAGAATTTTCTTTTCCTAAAACTTTTGGTTTGTTGATGCCTAAATTTCTAGTTATCTTCAAATTGAGTTTTCAGTATTTCACCATCGGCAAGTAAGGTATATTTCCAGCTATAAAGATAAATAATTCGTACATAATAATATTCGGAACAAGTCGTATTACAGAATGTTCTCGGATTAGTCAAGACGTTTTGTGCTATTTCTAAACTTATTTATACAATATGCACAATGATTTTTTCGTTATTTTGTATAAATTTTTATGCTTATATTCTAAACAGCTTTCCTAACAATTTGTAATAAATTATACACACAACATTCCTTTTTATTAAGGAGTTAATAGTTAAATATATGCACAGCGTTCATTGGCTGTGAGTTTGAATTAGGAGTTCAATTACAAATAATATAATTTGAACCGGGAATCAAATTTGGTGCCTCAGTTAATTCGGAACTTGAGACAAGTTGAACCCCCCACCCCCGGTATGGGCGCCCATGACTGCGGCATTCGAGGCTTGCGATTCATTTATTCCTTTATTTGATATAACAACATTGTGCGAATGTCCAAGATTCTGATTCTCTGATGCTTAAATTACGAGATGCGTTACCTCGTGACGACGATCTGTCAAATGCCGAATTTTATTCGAAATGTAGAGGTTTCGTTGATAGATTTTGCGCTAGTAAAGGAGCGCGTTAAAAACTATGCATGTTCAAAAAATGAAGTATAATTATTGTAAACTTCACTTTTACTCATTTCGGAATTCTAACACATTTCATTTATATTAACATATACTTGTGATATTTAATTATCTTGAAATTACACAACGCTAAAGTAATTGTAAATTATCAAAACACATTTCATTATCGCGAATAATAAGTAATAGGATCAGTTGCAATAGATGTAATTAATAATTTCTATATCATTTAACCTGCTGTTTTCCTCAGGCCAAAGATGCTCTATTTTTGCGACCAAATGCAAAATAGAAAACACTTGTATTCATAATTGAAACGAACAACAAAGAATAATGGTTTCCATATTGAGTTCAATGTACTGTATAACTGGCAGGGTGAAGATGAGTGAAATAAAATGACTCACATTTCGCGGCTAACGATTGAATCTCAACGGGATTTGTCTTTAAAAGTTATTGTTGCCAAGGCAGTGTAAAAATGCTAAAGCACCATCGTACTGAAAATGGATGTCATGAAGTGCAAGTACTTGATCTTAGGGATTAAAGCAGATGATCTAAACAAATGTCGTTGATGATAGACAACCTCATCTGGAATAAAAACTTAAGTTTAGGATTCTACACGTTTTATATAAAAGTATTAAATATTTATTTATTGTATTTTTTTGAAAGCGCCTAACGAAAACCTCACATGTCGCTCTTTTCACATACAAGATATTCTTACCGTCAATGAATTGTAAAGGTCACATGGACGTTTTTTATTTTCTATTTTAAGAGCTCGGTTTGTAGTTTTCTTTGGAAATTTTTTTACTAAATCAAAGAAAGAGCAAATTCTGAATCATTGATACCAAAATGTAAAAATCGCCAATTCCGTCACAAGAGATTGTCCATCTCCACCGACGAAAATCAATGTCTGATTATATATTTCTACCGGTAGAGCACGTCTGGATAAGAGCCTGCGGAGTCAGATCCCATGGGATCGAATATTATTATTAAACTGAAAAACGCACCTGTGTGCTATCTCTTTAGAGGGAGTAAGACAAAAGTTAATGACCATCCCTAAGTCGCGCAGTTACTGTTCATCCGTGCTTTCTTGTTGATTGACAGCTGTATTTTCACTGCTGGGATATAGTATCGATCGCAGACACTTCCTCAGAGTATTTACTAGTTACGGCCGCGACCGAAACGTCGGCACCTTCGCCATGGACGCGGCGTCACCCGGACAGCCTAGTAAAAACTTGACTCCGGCCGCGGAAGCCTACGCTCTCACTTCCTCAGAGTTCACACACACACACAGGTCTCTGGATCTAGGAACATTTTCATTTTGCATAGCAGATGGTGAAAACCATGCACTGTGGACCACGTGACGCATCTCGTAGCTTGCCGACATACAGCTTTTGTTACACATTGCCTCGGTAGTGTAAAACTTAGTCATATTTCCTCTCTTTACCTGTTCATGCTTTGGAAGGTTGATTCCACTGCCTTAATAGTGGTGGGATCGAATATTTGCCCTTCGTGACAATCAACTTTAAATTCGATGTGCCTCACAAGAGATACAGTTACTCCGTCGGCTCTTAGTCGAATGAGACTCCCCGATAGTAACAGATACACCATTGGTACTTCCTCGAGTTCTTAAAACAAACACTGCCAATATTCAAGTGAGATTCCCCTAAGGGTGTCAGTCGTCAATTCATGATTCACAGACAGAACTCTCAATTAAAAACAAAATCGAACGTGATTGTCTACAGATAAAAATTTTCATATGACAATAGTGGCCTATAATACTAAAGACAAAACAAATATTTAATCACAAAATTATTTTATGGGCATCAATTTTTTAAAAAGTACCATTGTTTCGCGACAATATGGCTGCATCATCAGGTGGTCTGTAATCATTCGGTTAGAAACTTATATAATTGTTATAATCGATTTCATGCCACCTGATGATATAGCCACACTCTGACGCGAAATGTGACTTATTAAATTGGGGCCAATAACAGTATTCTTATAAGATGGACAAGATTTCACCTAATGTGCGCACGATCGGTACATCATTCGAGTACCTGCAAGAGCGACTTCATTCGAAAGAAGTATACTACGGCAAATAACAATTCGTTAAGTATACGTTTTAAGAATGGCCTAATATTATGTTCCATCCGAGAAACAATTTCCTGTATATATCTTTAGTGAAAATTATTTTCCTCTCAAAGGCATAATGTGTTTCGTTAGAGTCGGCTGCAGTTGAGATGTGCCCAAACATATCTCTCTTTGCATCATACTTCGAATACCTTTGTCAAGAGAAATATTGAAGAATTGGGAAGTTTAAGTGAAGCATTTTGAAATATTTTTAAACAAATTTGGTTTCACAAGACTTGTAAATTGAAGATAAGCTTTATTATGTTTTACCTCGAAGTATAGGCGCCACCCTCCCCCCCCCAAAAAAAAAAATTGGGTGAGACCATCCCTCTCCAAAAGAAAATGGATAATAATGATATGAAAAACATGACATTGTAAATAAAATATTTGGAAAACAATGAGAGTTTTAAGGATAAATAAGGACGTAGAATCAGAGTTTAAAAAAATATGTTTGTTTTCGGGTGGGGAAGGGGTGTATCAAGGCAGTGGGACAGGGCCCTCCCACCGAAACATAGTTAGGGTAATGCTTTCTGGTTCGCACGTGACCTTATGATTCATTGTACGTTGCGCCGCGAATTGAGCGGCTTGCCACATATAAATCTTGGACATTTTCTCTTTTGAGTACGCAAAGTTCTTTGTTTAGTGTCTTCCCCAGGAAAAGAGTAGCCGTAAACCAAAAATCGAAAGAGTGCGAGAGCTTGTAGTGCTTAGCGAGTTTGAGAGCCGAGTGCTGTATATTCTAAAATGGATAATTTCTTAGAAGACAAACAACCAACAATTGGAGATGAAAAAAGGCACAAGGCACTCTATTGTGAAGATGATGATGGGAGGATTCTGCTTTTGAAACAGAAAATCAAAACCTAAGAACTAAGATAGGATCGGGAACATACTACACGGGCCCAATCTCAATATTTTGAAGCTGGCGCCTCTGACTGAAGTATCTATCACAGCTGTCATAGCTGCGTCTACGATGACACCAAACTCTTCGCACGGTGTTTGGACGGCCAATATCTTTCTTGAAGGTAAGTGTTATTCTTTTTTGCTAAATGTAACACATTGCAAACTGCCAATGAATATGCTGTTTTACTATCTTTAAAAATGATTGCTAGACAAAATTATGGGTAATTAGAAAATAACTTTTGGAGGATTAGGGAACATCCAGAAATTACATAACACTTGAAGGAGGGGGAGAGATTTTAGAACTGCGTTGTGCAACACTGCAAGGGTCTTAGGGAAACAACCATAATGTTAAAGTGTTTTTATTTATTTGTGAGTAATAATTGAATAAGTAATTGTTTTTATAATAAATAGTACTTAACTAAACTTTTATTTCAAATATCCTAATAATTAGTTAATTGATTTTTCAGGTATAGCAATTTCAATTATTATAATAGTTCTACAAATATGAGTCCTCACTGGAAGCCAGCAAAAATATTAATATTTTATAAATTAAACTGTTTGGGCCATTAATATTTTAGAAAATTTCCTCAGAGTAACGAAAGCGACCCATATTTCGAAAAAAACTGCATGAAATCATTTTTAAACATATAATATTGTGAAATAGATTGCCATTAGAAAATAATCTTTTGCTTGCAATACGACCTTATTTATGGCATCAATTTTGTACAATACCTGCTTTAAAAATACAATTTACAAGAAAATATATCATTAAGTAAAATATCTCAATTATCAATTGATTACTATGTTTTGCCATGTTAATTTTGTGCAATTTTCGAAAATACGATAACCTCAAATGTGACCTGTACAATTATTAAAAGCGAAATCCAATCATTTCAAGCCTTTTTTAAGTTATTTCGTTACCTGTATTCGCAAAAATCTACGAAAACTGCCGGAATGCGTGGTATCGTCCTAGATTGGATAACCTCGTACCTTAAACATCGATCTCAAAGAGTAGAAATATCGTACTGGCATGAAAGAGAATTGTGTACTTATCTTTCCTAGTCCTTACCTGAATATGGGGTCCCGCAAAGTTCGGTCTTAAGTCCTATTCTCTTTGTTATTCGTGAACGATTGCTCTCGTCTATTAAAAACGGGAAAACAGTCCTGTTTGCAGATGACACTAATGTTCTTTGCAAAAAAGAAACAATAAATAGTACGATTTCAGAAGTTTCAAATTGGTTTTGTAATAACAAATTAATAACGTATAAAGTTAACGAAGGAATAACAGTTTTCAACGCATTTTTGTGTGAAAAACAGTTTCAATGCTGTTTCATCGCGTGCTCCATGGGAAATGAACAATATGCAATTAGCTGATGTTGAGGTAAGAAAATTTCTAGGTCTCTTAATTCAGTCAAACCTCAAATGGAATGTATATAAGATAATTAAACAATAAATTAAGTTCAATATGTTACGCATTCACAATTCTTTCAAATTCCGTCAGCCTTCATGCAGCTTGTTGCGCGTATTTTGAAATTTTCTTTCCCGCCTGAGATATGACAATATTCTGGGGAAACTCATGTAGTACCCAGACCTTTAGATTGCAAAAGAAAATTGTTCGAATATTGAAAAATGCCATCGGTTTAAGAAATTTAAGTAATGATACACGTACCACAAATTTAATAAAATTGCCTTGTGATCGGCAATTTAATACGCAAATTAAATTTGTTTTTCTGGGTTATGTACTCATTACTTTCATTTGATCCCTGCAGAGCATGTACACTACATAAACAAATATGCATTAGGTAATACTCCAGATTATTTTGAAGTGAGGCCAAAATGCCTCCCGATTTTATTTTTGAACAAGGGAAATACTATGTCTTACCAACTTACGGTATATCAGAAAATAATATTACGTATTGCTTATAGACCTGTTTTGAAACGAGATAAAACACTTTTTAATTTTACATATGTGCATAAATTAATGTATTTCTAAATATTTTTGAAAGATGCCAATGAATTGTATTATAGGTCTCCTTGCAAAATACGTCTGGGTAAGTGTTGGCACTACTCGCCCTATCGCTTGTTGGCGCCTTTCAAATTTGGAGGAGTCTGGAACCCAGTTTTTAGAGTCCTCTGGCAATATTATTGTTACAGCTGTGGTCACTTGTGATGAAGAATATATGTTTTGTATTTAGTGATTTAGTATTTTTTCAAAAAAAACAGGTATGCAAATGAATGTTCTGACACTTAGATTATCGTGCCCTGTTACTGCTAGGTACATTTGGAAAGCGATTGACGTTATCCACCGTCAACGACAAATTGCAAATTTTCAGCGAATTCGTTGTTACTTAGGTCATGAGTATGGTATTGGCGAAGATAAGCTAAGAGAACAGTTACATTATTGTGTTCGTGATGGCCTACTTGTCATAAAAAGAGAGAGCAAAAAGAATAAAAAAAATGTTGACCAAGAAGGGTATGTGTTTCCCTCAATTTGTGATAAGGGTACACATGATTGGTATTGTTTTGAATGTCATTTTCCTGGGGAAGTCCTCTGCTGTAGTTCTTGCTTCAGAGTGTTTCATATTAAATGTATTGCAATGATTGATAAAAAAAGTACTGATACTACTAATGAGTTCATGTGCCACCTTTGTTGTAGTAATGTTAATAGTTTAATATTCAGTGTAGAAAGACTGAATTGTTTGCTAGGTTATGAGTTTAAGGAACTAAAAAAGAGACTTCCATTATCTGCCTCCCAGTGGCAAAGAAATGAACCGAAGATTTTAATTCAACATTTGATTTATAACCCTATCGATTTAGACATGATATTGAAGAAGATATGTAGTACTGCATACAATAATATTGTTCAATTTAGAGTGGATATTCAAACCTTTTTTCATAATCTTGTGATATATGAGGGACAAGAATCATCTGTGACCGTAATGGTCAAAGAAATAGTGAATTCTTGTATGAAAAGTGTCAGAGATATTCAGTTGTGTGCGGACTGTTATCAAATGTCCCATGAAAAAAATAGTGAATTTTGGTTTTGTAAACCATGTGATCCGCCACATAATCTTGTGTATGCTCAAGTAAAGGGATATCCATTTTGGCCTGCTAAAGTGATTGAAAAAATTAATGATCAGTATGATGTTAGGTTCTTTGGGTGCTATCATCAGAGAGCATTGGTTGAGAAAGATCGTATTATACCAATTAATGAAAGCATCGATAAATTTCAAAAACTACCCAAAAGTATTTCTTGGCAAAAGGCTTGTAGAGAGCTAAAGCTTCATCAATTGTTACTTAAAAGTGATATGAGAGAAGTTCACGAAATAATAAGATCTGAAAGTAAAAAAAGGAAAACACGGAAAGTTGTGTACAATGAAAAAAGAAATGGAATTGTTCTTGGCGCTATGGACTTAAAAAAAATAAACAAATATGCATTGAAAGCTTGTTTACCATTTAAAAGGGAAATTAATTCAAAGAGAAAGAAAATCAACATGGTGTCTCAAAGGAGAAGGAAAGATCAAAATGATGATGGAGGGAAAAAAGACCATTCTCGAAAAAATATCATAAACAGTAACAAAAAAAATGATTCTGAAACTAGTAAGACTTCTGAACGACAGAAAAATGTGGAAATACAAACAATATGCTTTTCAAAGCATGGGCATAGGAAATATATTTTTAACTTAGAAAATAAGAAGTCTTTGGAATTTGGAGAGGTGAATTATGACTGTAATGAAATAGTGACTCGCATTATAGACTCATACAATCAAAATCAGACTGGAAGCAAAAGCAAGTTAGAGAGTCACGCATTTTGCAATGCTAATTGCCCATTAAATCAGTGCCGAAGAAATATTGTTTCCGATTTTGAAATAGAAAAGGAGATTAAAAAGGCAACATTAGAGGCAACAAATATCATCAATTGTAAATATGGTGAAATTGTTGACAAAATGGCTCAGAGTTATATGAAGATGATGCATAAAGTACAGAAAAAAATATGGTGTACAGTTTGTCTTGGTGAAGCAACTTTACATTGTTGTTGGGGTGTTGATTACTGTAGTCAGAAATGTCGTGATGAACACTGGGAAAGCGAGCATAGTCTGGTACATATGCAAGTAGTCTGATAATGGGAAGAAGAGACTGATGCTGGTCTTCATTAATGATAGTCCTGTAAGTACTGCTTCTTTTATTTTATAGAATTGTACCTACATTTGATTTTGGTCATACAGTTTTAAGCTTTTAAAATCAAATTTTTCTTTTCAGGATGTTATAACTGTTACTATACTTTAGTGAAGCATGATTCTCTAATTATAGTATTACTTAAAAGTATTTGAGTAATGCAGAAAATGATTTTCTGGTGCTGAAAAATTATTAATTAAAAAATGGCTGCTGGAATGTCATAGTTGAGGCTAATATGCATGATTGTGTGATGTTTGTGCTGTAAAGAGAAATGCAAACAGAAATGCTGTGAAACTGAATTTAAAATTGAGTTTCACTTTGATTAAATCGTAAGTGTTTACCAAAGTACATTAATTAATATTTATTCAAAATGTTTTGTTAATAGGTAGTGTTATTCTGTTTTGTTTGATAGTATAAAGCTTGTATAAAGCTTGCACTTATTTCAAGAAACACTAAAAGTATTGTATTTCTCCCACTTCTCAATTTCTGTATTATAAATCAATTACATCATGAGTTTCTGAGTTACAATTGACAGCTGTTATTGAAATCTAAGAAAATTAGTCCTTCAAAAGTTGTTTGCATTTAGTATTTGCTTGGATATGACTGTCTTACCTAGTGAAACCTATGTAATATTTCTAAATTCTGTTGTTTTGAAGTAATTTAAATATTTATCCTAATACTGTGTGCTTAATAAATCTGGATTTTGATTATGTAAAATTCAAAACCAAAACATTAGTAATTGTATTACTCTTGTTTTGACAAGAGTGTATTTTTTGGGTTGTATTGTAAATACGAAGAACAAAAAGTACTCAAACATTGTGTTCACTGACCTCTTGCAAATGTACCATTTTTAGAGACTCCTTTTGAATGAAAACTAGCAATTCAATATGGCTTAGTTTGACAGGTAGTGTTGGGACCTGTCAAAAACAGTACCTACATGTATTTTAAGATGGTAACAGTAACCATGGATTTGATTGTTTGAAAAGGAGGACATCTTGTTGAATGGTACTGAGAATTGTAAATCAGTATAATCAATTATGTTACTCTAATGGGAAATTTTATAGGATTCAACCCAATGGCTATGTAATGAATGGAAAAATATATATACTTGTATTATAGAATGCATTACGTATGTGAATAATTTGTATCTAATAATTAATATTGAAATGAATTTGTTATTGCACTATATCTCACTTTTTTCTTTTATATTTTGGAGAATTATGAAAATTTACATTCACAATTTGGGATCAATTTCTTGGTTCATACATCCAAACACAAGCTGCAAACATATAGCTGTCCATTAGAGAATTTTTATTTGGGTTTTTATAAATAGCTTACAGCTAATTAAAATATCATGTTTTGTTTACACAGTATCGTAATGACATAATTTAAAATTTTACCAACTTTATCAAAGCACACACATTTCCTTTTTTTATTTACCAGAGAAGAGCACTTGAACAGTATTGCATGCAGAATTTGTTACATGAAGGGAGTCATAGCATCAAAAAGTTTAAAAACCATTGTGATACTCCATTATTAATTTTAAACTTGTGATATCGGTTATCTAGATAATCCTGTAACCATTCATACCCACAACCTCTTACATTAAACATTTATTGCAACTTTTTCAACAGTAACTTTCTATTAATAGTTGCAAATGCCTGCCTCTAATCCAGGAACCCTGCTGTTGCCACTCACTCGTATCAATAGCTCTTAACCAACCCTCAATTACTATTTGCAGCGCTGTCTCTGTTCTATGCTTTTTATAAATCCTATTGGCGTTCCATTAACATAATATTTCATTGATGTTTCATCCAGTACAGTTTCCATGACTGTTTCAATTACTGGAAGAGCATATGTCCAATAAGTAGTATATGTAAGTATCTGAGTCCTCGGGCATCAATTTCATTTCTCCTCAAGTTTCATTAGATTAATTTAAACGTTTTTATCTCCCTACTATTTTGCTCATGAGATTTATTGGATTTTTTCACCTTATAAGTTTTGTATTTACTTACCATTTTTAATAATATGTATTATAATAATCCCAATAATTACTCCTTTTTTGATATTTGTTGCATCATTTTGTCAACAAAAACGTTTTTTTGAAGTCAGACATGTCTTAGTTTTTGTTTGTTTTTTGTTGCTGGTTTTTGCAAACATACTGTAGTTTTATGAATACGTTTGACATTTGGTCAATGCTTTTATCTTAATGTTGGTTTTTAGGAGAAATCTATGAACTTTATGTTTGATTTTTGAAAGGATGGTTAGCACCATCTTCATTCGACAATTACTGTCTTTTCTTGTACGTGTTAAAAAAGTTTAGATTTATTCAGTCAAAAAACCAGTAAAAACTGTATGTGACGTTGGGGGGGAAAAGATTACCTGCGTATGTTTTCTTGAGTTCCAGAATTCCTTCCTCTTCATTTTAACTATAAATAGTTGAAAGGTGAGTAAAAGTTTAACATAAATAAATAAATTTTAAAATTCGTAAGATTAGAAATATTTAAAAAATAGTGATTTTCGTTTCTGAGTTATAGAAAACTTATTTGCATCGGTACACGAATTGCAAGTATGATATATCTGCATTGCTAACAAAATAGCAACTCGCCCTTACCTCTACTCTTACCATTACAAGCAAAAGGAGAGTTAAACAAAAAGTGCGCATAGTGAAGCTACATTTAACATTCAGAAGCAAAACAAGGGACCATCTCAGCATTTGCTCAATGGATCAGGGAAACTGGACAAAAACCTGATCGAGATTGAGTTTGTAACCATCTTCCAAAACTTAGAAATTTCAATCAAATGATGTTATATATAGTCACGTGTTGCACTTAACATAAAAATGTATATACAGAATGTATTAAAAATAACAACCACGTTTAATTTGCAATAACGATGTTAAATATGATAATAATGGTATATATTATTTGTCCATTCCTCGTGTGCGTCAGGCAAGGACGAAATATTCTCTTAGCTTTTCTAAATGTGATTAATGTCCTTCATGGGCATTGATGAGTTGACATCGATTGTTGGTTTAGTTTTGGAAGTTTTTGAGAATTTTTAATAAAGCCTCTCTAGCCATTGGTCTGGATTAAATTGAACGAAATGAAAGATTAATTTTGATGTGTATTTGCCGTTCATTATATGAAAGATAATGAGAGATGAGTGGCAATAATGTGTGAAACTGTTTGGATGGGCTGCATGGTGGTATTTGTATCTAGCTCGTGCTAATATAAAGTTTTTGATGAGTTTTATTAACACAATAAGCGTAGTCGTGAGAGAACTTTCGCATGTTAAATCTCATCCTCTTCCCCATTTCAGGAAAATGTTTACTCTTGATAAAGGTGAGTAAAGTTATCCACGCGAAAATACTGGATCGAGCGAGTACAACCCTCCTCTGTGCAGTATTATTTAACTTTATTACCGAACAGAGCAGCACACCCGTGCAATTCAATTGCACCGAATTAGTTTCATTTCACATACGTTTCGGATTCTGCACGTCACTGAACAAGTGGGATAGTATCCAAAAGCGCCGAATCTGCAAAAATGTAATTGAATGTTCAAAAATATATCATCCTGGGGATTACGGCATGAGGAATGTTTATTTAATGCCTTTGGTTCCAAAATTTCAGGTTTTAAAGCCCTAGAACGCGTCGTTTAGGAGATATTTAACCATATATCAATTCTTCCCGAGGTTACATTGGACATGGACTTCATATTTTTGAAGTAAAATTGAAATTCCTCACGTAGTTGCACACTTCTACAATTTCTGCCCATCAGTTTCATCAAGCATATTTCCAAATTTGAATTTTAACATTTCAGCAACATCCGGACAAAGAGCACACTCTAGATCTCATGAGGAGTCTCATGTTTAGGGTTCCCAAATATGTTCATAGGTCACTTGACGAGAAAAAAAACAAAAAACACATCAACGTATTTCTTTTTATAAATATATAACATAAGCTCTACTTCTTCTCGCCATTTTTGATTTAAGTGAAAAGATTCGTTCAAAAAAAGGAGGTGAAGATTGTCTGAGCGTCTCTATTTTAGTCGCTAGACAGACACTATCACGAATGCTTGTGTCTGCGTTCAGAAAACGGAAAGTCTTGTTTTCTATTCTATTTAGAATATTTGGGGTCAATCTATTTTAAGTTGCCCAGAATTTATTGAATTGAACGCTTAACCATTTCGCAAAAAAATATTTGGCTTATAACTTTCCCTGTGTTTTGGTGGTTCAAAAACATCAACTTGTTTTTCATTGTACCTGGTTTACAAACGGCGGACATTTTTGTGTTACGTCGCGCGCCATTTTCCGCGTTTGTGGACATTTACTCTTTTCTAAATTACTCAGCTCTGGTTTGTTCCAGCATTCTAGAACAAAAAAGCATTGGGTTCAGTATACTCTAGCCTACAAATCGAAATATTATTCACGTACCTTCTCTATTGTTATTTGAGAAATATTTTCAACCAAATCTATGGAACGCGAATGAATGAAATTCGATTTTCAGAGAGTAATTTCTCAAAGAAGGTATAGAATCACAGCCTTAATTTTTTTCTGTGCTTTTATATATAACAGTATAGTTACTTTTTGTAAAATTTCATTGGTAAATAACGTACCACTTGAAAATCACCTCTTAAAAATTGGAATTTGGAGTTTTCAAAAATTTCAACTGTAATGTCTGTTGGGGGACCAAATAAAAATCTGAAAATGCACACATGCTAGATCGATGTGATACCAAACGTCAGTAAAAATGTCAAATTTTAGATTTTACTCGAAGTTGTTTTTTTTTAATTCCAAACTTAAGCAAAAAAGGCTTCATAGGATGCGTTGTGCCAAGTAAACAATATAATCATATTGTTTTGAAAATATTTTAAACTAAAATCGACATTTTTAAAAATAATTATACATTTTATTATTAATAAAAATAAAAGTGGCCGAAAGCAA